GATCGCGCTACATATCTGTCGGGCACGCCCCGGCTTGCCTGTGCCCCAGATCCGCGTTACACAATTGACAAGTCGCCACGCCTCAGACGCTCGTTCTGGTGGAACGGAGGGTTTTGCGGAGAGGGCGCAACACACAACTACATGTAGACCCGAAAACACACCAACCAGAAAAAAACACGCAGACACCGAAGGACATCGGCACAAGATTCGTTCCGAAAGACCCCACCAAGTCTCCTACGTACATCATTGTACCTTCTTCTGACAGCACTCTTTTCTCTCTAGCGAAGGTACTCGGCGACCCAACACCCTGTGCGCCGGCGCGGCAGGCTGCGTGTGTAACAATACGCCGTGTGCGGCGAGGAAAAAATCAACAAACAACGCGGATTACCCTCGGCCGGATCAAGGAGCTCTATTCTGAACCGGGCCGATGTCATTTTCTCACGAAACCGTGAGCAAGCGGCAGGAAAGAAGAAGAAGAAAAAAAATCCTCCATCTTGACCATTGCCGCCCGTGCTCGTCCCAAAATGCGGTCCCCTGGACCTTTCCTCCATACTTGACGCCAACCCGCGTACGACAAGGGCATCTATCTTCACACACAAAAACTTTACGGCATGAGAGTCATTGGCGGGACAACCTACATGGTAATCAATGTCAAAGGGAAGGGGCAACCTTACGCTCCCCGCCCCCCCGCTCAAAACTCCAACGTCAGAGGTGGCATTTATTGACGCTACACTGTGTTCTATGTACACGAGACACAAACCCACCAGCAGCCGTGCCTCCCCGGAGCAACACCGAAGCCCAAAAAATCACAAAAAATAAGAACACGGGGGAGGGGGGCGGGCGCAGACCCAGAACAATCAACACACAAGAACGACAGCCCATGTCTAACGACAAACACAAACGAACACCCAAAGAACCGGCCAGCACTCGGCGTGTGCTCCTAACGGACGGTACAAAAACCACCAACGCTTTTGGTGTGATCCTTGCCCTCCACCTGTTATTCGATGACGTGCACGAGGAAGTCGAAGATGTCGGTCTTGCGGATGGCAGCCTGGATGTCTTCTTTCTGCAGTGTCCGCCTCTTGTTCTTCTCCGAATAGCACCAAGACCTGTCGCATGCCCCGGCCGGCGACGTCAGCAGCAGCAGCAGCAGCAGCAGCAGCAGCAGCAGCAGCAGCAGCAGCAAGAAACAGTAAGGGAAAGACATATTTCAGTTACGAAACAAGAAATGGGGATGAAACAAGTTGTAGGTGTCCGTGAGCTGCGGCGGAAACAAGAAACCAAAACAACTCCGAAGACATGGGCCGCCATGCCAGAGAGTGACACGTATCAAAGGAAGCAGGTGGATGTAGCGGGCGAGCGAAGAAATGGGGCCAACGGGGCTGGATTTTTCAACACAACACCAACCAAAACGCAACAACAAAAATAATGCGTGCCGCGATAGAAAACAAAAACTGACGACAGAGACCGGATTTCGCAAGTCTGATGAGTCGCGACACGGTGTGGCGTGTGTACACTTTCGATCAATCAGAGAGATAAAACGTGCCCGCCGTTTTCTGATTGGTCGATATTTTTGGAAGGAAATTTCTTGTGGCGTGGTGTGACGCCTGCACATGGCGGCGTGCGGATCACAGCGCACCTACATCGAAAGATTGGCTCCGTTACATTAGCATGCGCGAAAACCATGCTTGCGTTAATCGTGAGACTAGGAAACGAAGCGAGCGCACAAGAGACGGGCGCTTTTCGGCACAAGATGGCGCAGCAGTACGCCTTCAGGCTCGGTGGCCACACCACCAAGCGTATACCGCAGCAGCAAAGCGTACCTAAGGGTGAGCTCGAGGATGAACATCTCGCACGCCTTGGCGAAGAGCACCGGCGCCTCGGCGGAGATCATCCTCACGTCCTCATCGCACTTCATGATCCGCTTGATGCGCGCCAGCGGCAGGTCGTTGTGGTTCTTGAAGTCCTGCTCCGTGCCGATCTCTAGGGTTTCCATCTAAAGTTCCGGGACAAAACAAGAGGTTGGGCGAAACGCGGGTGTAGGTGTCGGTTCTGGCACAGACTTGCCAAATAAATCGCCTCGATTTTTCAAGCAAATTTGAGTTTTCCAACGTTTTTGTTGTCGTTGTTGTTGTGGCGGCGGAACCAACTACCATATGCATCTCAACGGCTATTACTCCTTCAACGGCAACGGGTTTAGTACATGCTCGAGGTGTTCTCAACAATCGGGAGTTACATTGTACTATCCAACATGATACCCCGGCCCCCATCTTTCTCTCCCTCACCGCTCACCGCACACACTCACCTCCTGCATCTGCTCTGCCCAGAATCTGTTCAGCTGCGACTGCATGTTCTGTGGAAGAACAAAACAAACAAACCGGCGTCGGGGGGGGGAGGGGGGGGGGGAGTTTGAATGTGTGTCCATACAGCCTTTCGGTCACGGACAAAGCGGCTACAAGTACTGCCTTACGTGTTCGCTGTTGGTTGTCGCTGCCATCCACGGCGGTGGTGCCTGTGCCACGAGTCGCAACGGACAAAACAGCAGGAAAACGCGCCGATGGATCCTCGAGACTGTTTCTCTCTCTGCAGGCCCTCGCTGCCGGAGATCCTTCCAATCCAATCTCTCAGGAACTTTCATGGATAACGAAACTTAGAACGTCCACCGCCAACCGGATGAACGCCACCCCTGCTTAGCTCTGACGGGTGCGTGCGTGCCTCTCTCTCTGGGAAAAGAGCAACAGAGGCGCTCCAAGTGGAAGTGTTCTAGTATCTACCTGGATACACATGTACATACGCCGTGTACATCCATTCTTTGTAACACATGCTACCCTCAGAGGCAGACGTTCTCCGCACTATCTACTGCTGTAGATACACCGTCCGAAGAGACTTCAGAATGAATTTACGATGACCCCACCAGCCGTACAGCAGACAACCACTTTTTTTTGGCCGGCGCCTGGTCTTTCTTGCTGCCCATGAAGTCGACGTATTTGCGTCTGACGTCGTGCTGCCTAGAGCGGCGTTTTCGGGTGAACGCCGGGGGTGAAGCACGGAGGGCGGGCAGGAACAGCGTTGCTGTTGTGGGGCTGGCCTCTACACTCCTCATGAAGCGAGTCTCTCTGGAAGACTTCAAGTACAACTGCTGCCGAAGCACTGCTTGCTGCTGCTGCTGCAGCAAAAACTTGCTGCGCGACTCTCGCAGAAGAGTTGTTACAAAAGCAACTCGTAAGACAAATCTCACCATGTTGACAAGGGTGGTGAAGCGAAGTGGTGTGAAGGTGTGTCGAGATGGTCTGATGGACGAAACACACGTGGGCGTGTGCCCGTAGCTTCAGCTTGTTGCGCTGCTGCTGGAGCGCAAGGAACCTTTCTTGAAATTGGAAATAAACTTCACGTGAACCATCCCCGAAACTATGTGTACTTGTACCGGACAGTGGCGCTGCGCCACCACAACGAGTTCGCCCTTTCATGAATAAGACAAACAGCAGGAGCACACACACACCACCCGTTGAAAAGGGCCGCATCTACAACAACAACAGGGCAGCTGCTCCAGACTAACATGGAGCACTGGACTGACCTTCATGTATGCTGAACTGCCGTCGGGCTCGCCGGGGCTGCAAGTTTCCGCGTCACAGGTGTTTTCGGACGCCCCGCGGTTGGGGTTGCGCGAAGCACGAGAGCGAGAGCCCTCCACGGTCGATGGTGAAGTTGGTTGCCTTTGAGATACAACCGCGGGAGGTGTGTGTTGTTGTGTGTGGTGTCGACAGAACAGACACACGGGGCTTCCACTACGTTGTTGTGTTCGCCGCCTGCCGCCGCCATGTGAGACAGTTTGGTAAGCGCCGACTGCGGGGCCCCTTCAATTCGCACTGCCCTCCCTCCTCACCAGACTGCTGTTGTAGACTAGTGCTATTTTGGGGGGCGTCCTTAATTTTGAGAACGTGGAAAATGTACGGAGTCACCACGGCATTCACGCCCACAGCCAACGAACCCTACTGCTGTAGGTCATGTTTGTATTTTCTAGTGATGATCCTTCACATCTTCGTCAATATCTTCATCCTACAAGTAGTAATAGTCTTTCTTCATCGACGAATCGTACACAAATTAATTGTTTGTTGTTGCACAACAAGACTGCGAGTTGTTCGACGTGAAAAGCGATTGCCGGGGGGTGCGCGGAAGTAAAGAGATAGGATTGATGCAGGCTGTGATTCTAGGTAAAGATGGCGACAGCGATTCTATTCTTCCCTCCATCCTCCCCACAAGTAAGTCCAGCCCAGTGTTTTTTTTTTTTTTTTCTTAATACACAACGAAACCATCTCTATCATGAGAAAGGAGTCAGAGACAGATTAGCAATGGATTCATAGCGTCAGAAAGTACCTGTATGTCTACGATTTCCCAGACAGCATATAGTTGTTGCAATTGCACAAAGTACGTGCTTTCGTTCAACAGCGCACGGAAGACAGCGCGTGTGTGTGGCTGTCGGAGTACGGCGGCGCTGTACCGCGCGTGAACGTCAGCATCATCAAAAATAATACCGGTAGCCTTTTTCAGGCGCCTTGTACAGCAGACTTATGCGTATTATAATAATGTTGATGCGGGTTCCCTCGAGACGAGCAAACTTTAGGCAGTTTCACCACCACCACATCGGCACACAATGAACGTTATTGGCAGACAATGTTGCAGACACGCACCCTCCATAGGACACGATCACGTTGGAGCCGCCAATACAGCAGCAGCACGTACCCTCCGCCCTCCATGTCTGCCTGCTCTTCTACAATAATAGCGCCAAGCAAACGACGTCTGGAACGCGAGTGAGCAGTCCCCGCCTCCCTTCCTCCGGCACCATGCACCGGCAACAACTCGACCAACGGCCTGGCGAAGACCTCCCCCCCCCCAAGGCCCTCCGTACGACCACACAGCACACAATTATACTTGACCCCGGCGATGACGCGCTGCCACTCCCACACGCACGCACAAAAAACATAGAAAACTAGGCATCTACGTACGTACACCATCCCTCGCCCCCGAAGCGAAAAAAAAGGGGACGAGACACACCGAAGAAGAAAAATAAAATAAAAATCCAGCAGACGGCAACCAACAGCAACAAAGAACACCACGGAGGCGACGACACAACCAAAACAGCGGCAGCCGATCTCTATTGGATCACGTCCACAAGGAAGTCGAAGATTTCCGTCTTGCGGATGGCAGCCTGGATATCCTCCTTCTGTAGCGTCCGCCGCTTGTTCTTTTCTGAGTAGCACCAAGACCTGTTGGCAGCCGGGGGGGAGAGGGGCGCACTCATGTTTTGCATGCCATGAGCGGTTGGACTTTTGACCACGCGTCCTCGGGAGGACGGAGCATTGTTCCCACAGGACCGATCATCACCGATGGCCAATAAATAGTTCCTTCCTACTTCGCCAAAAGGTGGCTGACTCAAAATTGTTGTCCCTACCTATCCTATCGAAAATCACTTCCCGCAGCAGTGTATCGCGGCGTACCTAAGGGTGAGCTCGAGGATGAACATCTCGCACGCCTTGGCGAAGAGCACCGGCGCCTCGGCGGAGATCATCCTCACGTCCTCGTCGGACTTCATGATCCGCTTGATGCGTGCCAGCGGCAGGTCGTTGTGGTTCTTGAAGTCCTGCTCCGTGCCAATCTCCAACACGTTCATCTGGTGAACCACAGCAGTGGCGGGAAAGAGGTAGAGACCGGCTTCATAGAGTGCTAATGCTTGACTTGCATGCCAGATGGTTGGCCTGGGTATGAAATATCCAGTTTGCTGTCCTCCGCTCTTTGCATCAAGTTGCTTCCTAGGTTCGGGACTGAGCATGTGGAGAAGCTGTGGTGTATCTGCCTCAGAAAGCCCTTTGTGCGAAACTTACTCGTCTTGGCACTATTTCTCGCATTCACCGCGTTGCGCAGTTTTCGAATTTGCGGCCCCCTGCCAGGGACCGTGATTTTACGCGCTGGCACTGACGTCTTTTCATTGGTCAGTCGGTTGGGGCGGTCGATGCTAATAATAAAGACACACCGGAAAAGAACACGACTACAAAGAATAAGCCTCGGTAGACACGTGCATTTCTCTTCATGTGTAATATCTCACCTCTTGCATTTGCTCCGCCCAGAATTTGGTTTGTTGCTCTTTCATATTCTGGCAGTATGACGTCCAAACGGGGGGGGGGGGGGGTAGAGAGAGATTAGGCTGACTCAGATCTGAAACTCCGGGGTTTATTCACACCAAACCCTTGCACAGCAGTAGGAGCGGTCGTTGACAGGTTCATCAGTAGGATTGAAGAATCAACTTTGGCTCGCAAATTCAAGTCAACGACCAATGTCCAACACACCGGGCAAACGATACACGACGAAGATAGGTAAGAGACGGTTGTTACCTACAGGTTCTGTGCCACAGGCTCATGTTCAGACGTGTATGTGTTGTGCGGGGGTACACGCGAGCCTACACGTTTTGGCACACTGCCGGGTACCTGGAAAATCACGAGTATTATTTTGTTGTTTTTTTTGTTAGCGAGCAAGCTACAAGGAGCGGCCGGCAAGTTGAAGCAGCTTCGAAAAGTTTTCCTGAGGTACCGATACACGCGGGCCAAGACAAGTTGAAGCAGCTTCGACAAGTTTTCTTGAGGTATTTGATACACGCGGTCCAAGTTTTGATTTCATCGCACAACGATTGGGCGCTACTACTACTGCAATGTACAGACAGCAGGCGTGGAGGCCGCCCGCCTCGGACGGATGTCACACACGCCTCGAACGGCGTTCGACAACCATTGCAGCAGCACCAGAGACTGATGGCTCTCTCTTCTTCGAGTATTATACAACCAACCATACATCCATCGATGGTGATCGAACGATGGCGAGACGAAGCGCATGTTGTGGCTGAGAGGTGGACACAAACGCGCGGTGCTATGCATGCAATACACGCTCGTGCCGTGTTTGAAATGAAGCTTTGAATTGAGGTTGTCGTCTTATCAGCAAGCAGGAATTTGGCTATGCTGCTGTAACTTGGGATAGTCTTTACAGGAGTTGAATGTACGAGAAAACCCTTCCTACCAACCTGGGCGTGTACTGTAGGTATGATTTATTGGAACTACCTCTGTATATAATTCGAATGCCAATATGTACACCAGTGGTGGCGGCCGTTCTGCCGAATGCTCAACGTCACCCGAGACGGGAGGGAGGCGGGGCTGCGCGTAGGTTAGGTACAACTGTACAGAAGCTGCTTGCTGTCTATGGTACCAGTCTTGGCCCCTCCAACTTGCACAAAAATACGCAAAAAAAAGCGGTCGATTTGAAATGGGAGGGACCTCAAAACCTAAATTAGCACTCCCACGTGATCGCTTTCATTTCCAAAGTGTGGTGGGGGGCGAGGGATGCGGGGCTGGAAAATGAAGCAACTTGCTTGTGAGAATACTGATTGCAAGCAACAGCGTTGCGCGGAGGAGGGGGTGGGCAGCGAGGCCTCTCTGCAGCAGTAAGTTTTCGTGTGGAAAATAACTCACGGCCAGAAGCAATCCGCGGAACACGCCAAAGGCAGGCAGGAGAGCAAGAGAGTCGGTCGGACTAAAAATATATATGCCATCGCTCTCGGTCACGCGCCGTGAGAGGGCCGACTATTCCCCCACCCATCCCAACACCAACAGCCAGTGGATCGCATGCCTGGCCCTTGGTGCAAAAGACGCATGCCAGGCAGAGGCTATCTCCTTGGTTGTGGATTTTCTCGTATTTAGTCGCTTTGCCCGCCAAAGTGCCGCCACGTACAACAACGTACCTTCAAGTAGGCTGCATTTTCCTCGTCCGAGAGCGGCTCCCCGTGCTGCATGCTCTCCGACATTCGGGTCGGGGTGCGCGAGGCACGCCCATGAGAGCGAGAGCCCTCCACGGTTGTCGGTGGTGTTGGTGCCTCCAAAGGACAACCAGAAACAAGTCAAGTGATGTCCCCAAAACAAGAGATGTAGCAGGTAGGTCGCTGCTGTCAAACTAGGGGTCTTCCCGGATGGCTCGGGGGCGGTTACAATGAGGGGGTGCACGTTTTATTGAAAAAAGCCCCCTGCCGTGCTGGCTGTGCTGGCTGTTGCGACTCCTCTGCTGCTGCGGTCAGTTCGAGCTCTCACACTTACTGCTTTGCGACTGCCGTGTTGCATACCAAAGCAGAAAGGATGGCGATGCGAGCAATTCAGTTGCAACATTCGGCGAGGAGAGTTACCGGTGGTAGCCCTGTAAGTACCTGGGTTCTACATCTGCAGATTCAGATCCGTTGCGTATTTGGGGCAAGGCGGCGTATCCCCTTGTTTGCACACAGCGGCAGCAGCAACAGCAGTAACAGCAGCAGCAGCAGCAGCAGCAGCAGCAGGTAGCGTTACTGCTCTGCAGCCCACGCAGGTACATCACTCACTGCCACATACGAACTTTGCCCCGTGGTTTTGAGAACTGTTATCAAAACCCATCCTGCTATCCTGCTACTCTGCTGTATGCTCTATGTACACCGGGAAACAAATGTTCGTCCGTCTCATGTGTTGGGCCGAACACCGAAGAGGCCCCTCCCGTGCCCAGTCGAGCGTGCGTGTAGGTGATGCCAAAGGGGCTTGCACGTTTTTGCACAAGGCAGGGCTGGGCGATGGCAGCAAGCACCGAAACAAGCTCGCAAGGCCACCCAATGTACCCATCCCCCTTTGCAGTCATTCTGCCGTGCGTGGCGTCGTTGTACTTTGCCGGCCCTTTCGACTAACACGTTGCACACCCTTGCTGCCAGGCTTGGATGTGCCATATCATGCGCATGGTTCTGTCAAAAGATGGCTACAGAAGTTGTAGTGCGCTGGGATGATTCTGCGGACGCTAAACCTAACCCCATAGTAACAACAAGTGACAACCAAGAGTAAATCAGCAGCAGCTCTGAGGCACACCGACATTGGTTGGAACAACTTGACGTTGCCGGTTGCTTCCTTCCCGTCCACAGGCGCCAGCAGCAGCATCAGCAGCAGCAGCAGCAGCAGCAACAGCAACAGCAACCCCGATTCAAAGACCCCTGCCAAACACCGATATGAAAGCACTCCGTCCGTTTTTCTCGGCACTTTCCTCGTCTTTGCTACGCCCCCACCTTCGCCCCCCCCCCGCACGCCCCCCCCATCCCCGGCGTCGCCGTCTCCTTCTACGAATGAGCAGCTGCTGCTGCGCCGAGGCTTCCACGTCTCTCCCCGCCTTCTTCTCGGGGCCATGCCCTCGTCAGGATCGGTGAGGACGGCTGGCGACAGCAGCAATCATTCCCCCTTTTTCTTCGTCTCGTTGATTGCTGTGTGGAGCAAAAGGGGGCGGTGTGTCGGGTGCAGAGTACGTTGGGGTGGGTCCCGCTGCTTGCTGTGGTTTGTTTTATGTTGGCCGAAACAAGAGCAATGGAACACGTTCGGAGTCGAAAGGATAACGCTGGACTGCTGTGCCTATGGGCGTAAGGGCAATGGTGTGTTGACACGTGCTTCTCTCTTCTCTCCCGCATACATGCAGTCTACGCTGCTGTGATCAGGTATACGGGAGACATATGCTATACCCGTGGGATTATCTCGGTACAAATAGAATAAGAGTGTTGTGCCCTGGTACGTTGTAATTAATGCCCGCACGTGCGTCTTTTTCTTTCCTATGGAAAACAGACCAAGTATATGCCTCCACTCGCGTGCTTGTGCTGCCAAGAGCACTCTATGAGCAGTCACCGCACGCGATGCTTGTAACCAACAACGACGACAGCAGTCAAACCCTGTCGTGTCCACACGCACAACAAGACAAAAAAATTGAGCAAGGAACGCGCGCCGTATTAAATATCTCCCGGTGTGTACCGCATGCAATGCACCGCAGGAATCCAAGGGCCCAAGCCGGGCCCGCCTTCTCAGCGAGGGCACGCCGGAGTGGATCGAGCAATGGAGCCCCGAGGTGTTCCGCAAGGTCGGCTACGGAATGGCGGCAGGGGTGGTGGCGACGGGGGCGCTCGGGGGTCCGTTGACGGGCCTTGTCGCGGCGGTGCCGGTAGCCGGGTGAGGAGGCAAATATTCACCCTGTCTCTCTCTGTCTCTGCCTCTGTGTCTCTCTGGGTATGCCTGCCTGTCTGTCTGTCTGTCTGTCTGTCTGTTTCTCTTTGTCTTTCTCGCTGTTTCTCTCTCTCGATCTCTGTCTGTCTGTCTTTCTGTATCTCTCTCTGTCTCTTTTGCTTTTTCTCTCTCTACCTCTCTCTTTCTGTCTCTTTCTGTCTCTCCGTCTGTACTCTCCCGTGCCTCTGTCTGCCTGCCGGCCTCTCTCTTCTCTCTTTACGTGTATGTCTCTCTGCGTCTCTCTCTGTGTGCCTGTCTCTCTCTAACGCGTATGTCTCTCTCTACCGTGTATGTCTCTCTGTCTCTCTCCATCTGTGCTAGCGTTCCTCTGGTGTGCAGTGCAATGAAAAGCAAGGCGCTTTTATCAGCACCTCTTCCTTGCTCGGTTGCTGTGATAAACAGCCTTGTTATTCAAGCAAAGATACCCTTGTGCGTCGCAGCGTTCGTGGTTTTCGCGTGTGCAATACCTCCTCCAAGCGCCTTTTCGTCCTTTCCTCCTTAGCTGTGCTTGGCTGTGTTCGTTGCTGCTGCTGCCATTGCCGCCGCCGCCACAAAGTAGTGAGAGTCCACCATGGTACTCTCTAACGCGGGCATACCCAACTTTGGTTTCCGACAAACAGGTACTGGTGGCTGGGCCTCCGAGACCTGAAGCAGGAGTCGAGCACCCTCAAGCGCAACTTTCCGGTACTGGCCAACATCAGGTGAGCGAGGGAGGTGAACTCGCGGGGAGTTTGATGCTGGGGCGGCGGGAAAGGCGGGGAGTCGTCTCTTGTCTGTCTACCGTGGCGTTGCTGGGTGTCCTCTGCTCGGGTGTGTAGGGTGGGGGAAACGGCTATTTAGTCGCACGTGCTTATCCTGCGTGTGTGGGCGTGTAGGCTTCTGCGGGTGGTGTGGTACCATCATTAGGTGACGGCGGGGATGTTGTGCGGGATGGGACGGTATTCTTCCGTATATGTATATCCCTGCTCGCATTGCTGTCCTAGCTCGAAGAAAAGTCGTCTCGACGTTGATTCTAGATTTGACACCGCCAACCAGCGACAGAGATCGTAAATACGATATCGCGTCCCGCCCTCGTCTCGTTGCCCCCTGACCCTTACCGTTGCACGACGACTTCGACGACGACAACGACGACAACGACGACAAGGTTCCTGCTGGAGTCGATCCGGCCGGAGATTCGTCAGTACTTCATCGAGTCGGACAGCGAGAGCGTGCCCTTCTCGCGCGCCCACCGCTCCGTCGTCTACGCTCGCGCGAAGGGCTCCTCCGACACCCTGCCTTTTGGCACCCGCAGGGACCTCTACAAGGTGGGACGAGGGGCGTTCTCTTATGTTTTGCATGCCTTAGCGGTTAGACCGTTGACCACGCGTCATTCTCGAGAGGACGGAGAATGGGGGAGGGCTTACCAGGTCTTGCTTGGCACCTAGTGCTGCGAATTTCCGAGCTCTGCCCACTGTTTTTCATCGCTATTGTATCGACATCATCAACACCGCCACCACCACCACCGCTGCTGGCTGTATGCCCGCCTGCCTGCCTGCATGACGTGACGGACGGGCGGTGCATCGAAACCGCGATTGCCAGGAAGGGTACGAGTGGATCTGCCACAGCATGTACCCGGCGAAGCCGTCGAACGTGGAGCTGAGGGCCACTGTCGGCGGCCCCCTAGTCACGCAGAAGTACTCGGCCGCGCTGCTCAACGTCAGCGCGATGTCGTACGGGGCTCTCAGCGATAACGCCATCCTCGCGCTCAGCAGGTGGGCAGGATGGTCGTAAGGAGGGGGGGGGGTTCAGCAGTATTGACTACGGTTTTAGTTTTTTTTTTATGGGAAAGTAGGAATTTTACGAGAGTACCAGTAAGTGGCTTGGCTTGTCCCTGCCACGAGAAATACATAAATTTGGTAGTACGGCTTCAGTCAAAACGTGTTTTCCTTTTTTTTCAGCCGATGAGGTGGTGTGTTGTGGTGAGGGTCGCTCACGGCCCCCCTTCGACCCTACCTGTGTGTGTGGCAGGGGACCACAGCTACACCACACAATACACACCACTTTTGGCTTCACTTCAGATAGCGTGACACCTCTGGTGGTAGCGATGCTGCTTTTGCCCATGCGTACCGCTGTGCGCGTGCACCTAAAACGAAAAAAAAAAACACGGAACCCCCAACAGCGCCGCGAAGGCGGGCAGCTTCTACCACAACACCGGGGAGGGAGGCATCTCGCGCTTCCACCTGGAGGGCGGGGGGTCTCTGGTGTGGAACGTGGGCACGGGGTACTTCGGCTGCCGCGGGGAGGACGGAAAGTTCGACCCGGAAAAGTTCCGAGAAAATTCCACAAGGCCAAACGTCAAGGTGTGGCCCGGTGGAACACGAAACGCAGTGTTTTTTTTTTGGGGGGGGGGGGCGTGTACGTGGGCCGGACACACACGCGCACACACGTAATGGCCATTTAGAAGCGTTTTCTGTTTTTAGCCACACTGAGACTGACGTCTTTTCATTAGTCAGCCGGTTAACGCGGTCGATTCTAAAATTAAGCGCACACACACACACACACACACACACACTGCGCTTCGTAAGCCTAAGAAATGGGCGGCAACGGTACTTCAACCGCTTGTTTCTCAAGCCCCTCTTCATGGAAAGTCGTTCCGATTTGTTTGGCCCGCTCGGAGAGTACGTCCGGGTGAGTGTTCGAAAAATCGCAACAAGCAAATTCTTTGTAGTGGAGAAAATTCGGCTGTACAACCCTAAGCTCCAGTGTTTAGCTGTCGGTAGGAGGCGTTGATAAGTGTTCACATTTTTTCCCCCGCTATTTACAAGACTGACGTCTTTTCATTGGCTAGCCGGTAAGAGCGGGCGATGGTAACTATGTGAAACACGCCCACACACTGCCGTGTTTCATTGCATTTTTTTGCAGCGACGTGTGAGGGGTTCGTGCAAACGTTAGGTTTTTTGTGTGCGTGGTGTGTGTAGAGAGGTGCCCGCCTGTGTCACTCACTCCCTGTAGCTTGTGGGCGCCTGCGTGTCTGCCTCTCCGTGAGTGAGCCTGCTCGAAAAAAAAAAAAAAAACGCAATTATTGTTGGTCTTGGTGTGTTGGTCAGTCGCGCTGTCGTCGTTTTGCTTTTCCTTTGTTGCGGTGGGTTTGGGGTGATCGATCCAGACTGCCGAGCGCAGTCAAAACACAGCCAGTTTTGAGGATCAAACCGCCCTTGGAAGTGTGGAACAGACACATGCGGAGCAGGACCTTCCCTCCAACCGACCGACAAGCCATTTCAACGAAACAATCGATCAGACCAAACGGATAGAGCACGGGTAGGTGCAAAGATTCTTGGCTGGGTCAAACGCGCGACCCGGGAATGAGCGCTCGATCACCAATGATTTGAAGCACGTGGCCAATGAGCCGACACAACCCGTGCGGCCGCCATCGATCAACTATGAACGCCACGCAACCATGCACCTAGTTTGAGTCGATCGCACACGAACAACGAACACACTTTGAGTGAGCAAACAAGGAAGAAGAACCAGCGAGGACGAGCGGAGGAGATGAACACTAAATTTTCCAACACTAAATAGTGCAAACCATTGCATGTCAACAACTGTTTTCGTGTGGGCATTTGTGCCTTTGTTCCGACGTCCTGTGTGTACTTCCATCGAGCTGTTGAAAATAGCCTTGCAAACCGTATTGGTGTATGTAGGCGATATCCTTTTTTTTCTCCCTACAATAATTAGGTCGCCTGTGCGCTTGCTTCCATCGAACAAACAAGAAAAAGGCTCTCAATCAAGCTATTAGCTATCCAAAACCCCAAACACAACTTTCAGATGATCGAGATCAAGCTCTCGCAGGGAGCGAAGCCGGGGCACGGAGGAATCCTCCCGGGGGCAAAGGTGACACCTCTCATCGCCGAGGCGCGAGGGGTCAAGGTCGGGCAGGATTGCAACTCCCCCCCGCTGCACTCGGCGTTCGGCGGGCCCAGGGGGCTCGTAGACTTCGTGGACCAGATGAGGGAGCTGTCCGGGGGGAAGCCCGTCGGGGTTAAGATGTGAGGCGAGGGGTCGTCGTGGCTGTCGGCGTTTTTTAACAGTGGCGAGGTGTTGTTGTTGTTGTTGTTGTTGTTGCTGTTGTTGTTGTCCATCTTTGTTTAGCGGTGGTGGTTCGGTGTAGCTGTTCTTGTTGCTGTTGTTGTCGTTGTTGTCATTTTTTGTTTAGCGGTGGTTGTAGTTGTGGCTTTGGGAAATTAACTCCACAGCTTGCAGATATTCAAGAGGAGCAAAGATGGATGTTGGGGTTGAATCGTGGAAAGGGTTTGTGCGCGGTAGGTACACGGCCTACGACGGCGCAGCAGTCTCTTCCTTTCCGTGAACGGTAAGCCGGCATTCACCCGGGTCGATCCCCCTACAACAGCAAGCCCTGTGTGTCCGCTCGGTGAATGATCGTCCATCCCATTGGCGAGAGAGGTCAGGCCCCCCCTTGTCCCTCGGCCGCCGTAGCCGAGGAGGTGGGTTTCGATGTTTGAGCTTGAGTACTCGAGGGTGACGAGCGAAGCGACACAAAAACCAAACACGTCAAGACAAAGGGTGAGGGAGATGTTGTCACTGAGCTCCCCCTCCTCCGTTCGTGAGTTTACGGCACAGGGAATGAGTCGAGTCGGCGGCCGATGTGGATAATATAAGCCGAATCGTGAAACCAAAGACTCATGATCGACCTCTCCCCCCCCCCCCCCCCCCCCTGAAAAAAAAGGATGAGGCAAGGACAAATTTGGTAAAAAAAAAAAACACCAAAAAAAAATCCCGAAAATTGGGGGGGGGGGGGGGGGCCCAAAGGCCCCAAAAGGAGGGGGAAAAATTTTGAAAAAATTTTTTTTGGGTTTTTGGGAAAAAAAAAAAAAA